GCTGGAAAAAATAGTCAATAGTGTCCATTGTTGCTGAGGTCGGGAAGGGTGAGGCTGGAGAAAAGACTGAGACTTGGCACTCCAAGATCTCTGGGAACTTTGGAGATGACCATTTCAGGTGAGTGAGAAGGTCAGGAACCAGATTCCAAAGGTCTGAGAAGTGACTGCCTTCTCTCTCCTCCAATGACCACACTTAGACTTATCAGTGTATTCTCCTCCCAGGAGCACTTCAGCTCCCTTGGGAACAGCGACTGAAGTGCCCAGTGCAGTGCCTGGCAAATAACAGCGGCTTAATAAATGCTTGGAGTGGACGGATTATACAAAGCTACCTATGTGCCTCGAAGGGAGGACAGGGGCATAAGTCTGGACCCAGAAAGGACCTTAGAGGCCATCAAGTCCAACATCCTTATTTTACAAATGGGGAAACTGAGGCCCAGGAAGGTTAAGCATCTACTTCTCAGTAGGTGCTAAATAATTGCTGTCTCCTTCCTTCCTTAAGTGACTCACCCAAAGTTACATAGGCATTGATTCCAGAATTGTAAAGGGATAAAGGGAAGAGAGAGAGAGAGAGAGAGAGAGAGAGAGAGAGAGAGAGAGAGAGAGAGAGAGAGAGAAAGGGAGCATCTGAATCAGGGCCTCTGACTTTTAAGCCAGTGCTCCTCATCTTTGACTCCCAGGAGACATATGCCTAGGTGTGAAATCTCTGGAGCAAGGGTATGAACCAGTTAGTGATTTTCCTTGTATGACTCCAAATCGCATTTCAGAGTGGCCGTACTGATCTATCACTATATTGGTGTACCTGTTTTCCCAGTCTCTCCGGCATTGATGGAAACCCATTATTTTCTGCCGTGCCCCAGAGTCATTCCTTAGAGGTTTGGAGAAAGTCCTGAATATGTTCTGTTTTACATTTTTATCAGTGACTTGTATCAAGTTGTAAGTGACATGTTTTTCAGATTTATGAAGGTTTGAAAGCTTGGGAGTGAGGGCTAAAATTCTGGACAGAACAGAAACCAGAAAGCTCCTCATATGGGCTGGAAGAATGCTCTGATTATATGGAAGAGAAGTTAGTTTTGCTCTTGGCCTCAGAAGGCACATGAGGGGCTGTCTCTGTGGGCAATAGGTTTCCCCTCCACTGGAAGACTTCAAGCAGGGGCTGGAGGACCACCTGTGGGAGATATTATAGAGATTATCCTAGTGTAGGTATGGGCTAGGCCTCTGAGGTAGGGATCAAGTCTGAAATTCTGGGATCCCAGGGGCAGCTAGGTGGTACAGTAGATATAGCACTGGCCCTGGAGTCATGAGGATCTGAGCTCAAATTTGACCTCAGACACTTATTAGCTGTGGACCCTAGACAAGTCACTTAACCCTGATTGCTTCAGAAACAAAAATTCTGGGATCCCAAAGCCCTCTTTTGCTCTCTAAAACCCTTTGATGGTACCCAATTGCCTACTGAGTAATATTCCAACTCCTTAACCCTGCACTCAGAGCCCTCTATAATCTGGTGTCATAAGTAAAATTCAACAAAGGTAGACCAAGGCAAGCTCTCTCCAAACAAGTTTACATCAATAGGGTGCAAACCTCCCAACAGAATGGGCCTAATGACTGCCTCCACTACTCTAAATTCAAAGAATTGGAGGTGCAATTCCTTTTTTTATAAGAAAAGAACAAAGAACAGAACAGAGAAGGTTAGGAAATCACACCATTGGTTTATGGGATTGGCATCATCATAGCAGTAAGGGATCATGACTGTTTACATTGAGGGAAGCATGAGTATACACATCCATGGAACCAGAACCACCCCTCTGTGTCTTAGAGGAAAGCTTTGTGGATTTATGGGACCCAGGTGCATCCCAAAGTCATTGATAGTAAAGTAGGTGTAGCAGACACAGGACTCTGGGAATGAGATAAGACCACCTTTATTTGGCTAGGATGAGGCTAAGACAGGATACGGTCAGCTTTTCAGCTCTCAAGGATAACACACAAATGTCATGGAGTTTCTCAAGAGCTAAAGTTATGAGGGATAACAAATTCCCTTAGCACAAAGTGATTTGCAGGTGGTGCTGGGACAACAATTCCCTTAGAATTAAAATGTTTCATGAGAGTGTGGAACCTCTAAACTTAGCTCAGAGTTTCTCTTTCATTAAAATTGATTGATTGGGAAACTAAACTTTTGGCATCTGTAAGAGAAAGACTGAGCTTCTTCACTCTGAGAGAAAGAAAAGGCTTAGGATTTTGTATCAAATACAGAATAGACTTGCAGAATTGAATATAAAATATCAAATCAGTATTTGAATTTCACACCAGTTCCCCTCAGCCTTTCTAGCCTTATCCCACATTGGTACTCTCCACATGTCCACCCTATGTGTCTATAGCCTAGCTGAGCTAGAGTTTTCACCATTTCCTTTATAGATGTCTCAAATGTTTCTGCCTCTCTTCCTGAGCTTACACCATTTCCTTTTCTGAGTAGATGGAAAATAAAGGGATAAATGCAAAGTTCTTCAGTAGGGACAAAGAAATCAACCACATGTGTACAGGTTGGGGAAGATGCGATTAGACAATCATTTGTAGAACAACAACAAAAAAGATACTAATCATCTTTTCCCACTCAGTGGTGCTCATTTGTCTTATAGAAATCATGTTTAGTTCTGGGCTTCCATCCAGCCCCATGTGGGCATATCTGTCAGAAGTTAATAGACATAGAGGCACAGGGAGACACTTGGACCCAACAGCACTGACTGATGTCTACCAACCAGGCTGCTGCCATACCTGTGGCACATGCAAGGGTTCTCTCTGGCAGATTCCTCTGCTCTTGGCTCCCCACAGACTTCCTGGATTTCCCTCCCAGGCAGGTGGCCAGGATATTGTGGAAAGAGAACAGGGCTTAGAATTATGAAATCGTAAATTTAGAGCTAGGAGGGACTTGAGAGGTCATTAGTCTGTCATCCTCATTTGGAGGGAGCCCAGGAAAGTAAAGTGTCTTGCCCAAGGTTGTATGTGTAAATATGTGACAGTCAGGATTTGAAGCCAGGTCCTCTGACTCTAAGTCCAGCTCTTTTTCTACTCTACTAAGTTGCTTCTTAAAGTAAAAGCTCTGGTTTCAAATCTTGACTCTGATACTTACTAATCATGAATACATCAGTTTGCATCTCTGAGCATCATTTTTTTTTCATCTCTAAAAGACCAGAGCTGAACAGAAAATTTGATCTTCAAATACAAGACTAAAGAGAAGCATAAAAAGGTAAACAGGAAAGGGGGGAAAAAAGGTTATTCAATAAGATTCAAACTGTTTTCTCTTCATGGGAACTGTATCTCTATAAAGGCAGTTAAAAAGACTATACATAGATAGAGAGTATGGATATAAGTTGCCTTTTATTTGATGATATAACAAAAATTAAGAGGTGAAAAAAAGGATTGTACTGGGAGAAGAGGAGAGGGAGAGGCAAAATAGGGTAAATTACATCACATGAAGAGGTGCAAAAGATACAGTCGAAGAAAAGAATGAAGGGGGTGAACATTGTTTGAAACTTACTCTCATCAGATTTGGCTCAAAGAGGGAAAAACAAACATACTTAGTTGGGTATAGAAATTTATCTCAACCCATGGGGAAATAGGAGAGGAAAGGAGAAAGAAAAAGGGAGGCTAATAGAAGGAAGGGCAGATTGAAGAAGACGGCGGTCAGAAGCAAAACACTGGTGAGGAGGGACAGGGTAAAAGGAGAGAGAAAAGTATAAACAGGGCGAAAAGTAGGATGAAGGGAAATACACAGCTAGAATTCATAATTGTGAATGTGCAAGGGACGAATTCTCCATAAAACAGATGCAGATAGCAGAATGGATTAAACACCAAAATCCTACAATACTTTGTTCACAAGAAACACATTTGAAGCAGAGAGATACACACAGAGCAAAGGTAAAAGATTAGAGCAGAATATGCTATGCTTCAGCTGAAGCAAAATAAACAGGGGTAGCAATCCTGATCTCAGACACAGCAAAAACAAAAATAGATCTAATTAAAAGAGATAAGGAAGGAAACCACATCTTGCTAAAAGGTACCATAGACAATGAAATAATATCGATACTAAACGTGTATGCACCAAGTGGTATAGCATTGAAATTCTTAGATGAGAAATTAAGTGAGTTACAATAAGAAATAAAACAGCAAAACTATACTAGTGGGTGACCTCAACAACCTCCTCTCAGAACTAGATAAATCTAACCACAAAATAAAAAAGAAAGAAGTTAAGGAAGTGAATAGAATTTTAGAAAAGTTAGCTATGATAGACTTCCGTGGAAAATTGAATGGGGATAGGAAGAAATAACACTTTTTTTCTCAGTGGTACGTAGCACCTACACAAAAAATTGGCCATGTATTAGAGTATAAAAACATCACAATCAAATGCAGAAAGGCAGAAATATTAAATGCAACTTTTTCAGATCATGATGCAATAAAAATTACATGTAAAGAAGGGCCATGGAAAGATAGAGTAAAAACTAATTGGAAACTCAATAATCTAATCATAAAGAAAGAATGGGTCAAACAACAAATCATAGAAAAAACCATCACCCATGATTACGGAGGCTTCCTTGGCATCCAGAGAGGGATTAGAAAGACTTCTTTGAATGGCAAAGACATGCAAGAGTCGTAGAAGTGAAAGGAAACTCAGAGGCCATCTAACTCAAGCTCTTCATTTTACAGATGAGGAAACTAAGGCCCATTGGGGTGTACAGGGGGTAAGCAATTTTCCCAAGATTACATAGCTAGTAAGAGTTAGACTTGAACCCAGATGCTCTGAATCCTGAGTCAGAGTTCTTTCCCATGTACCATCCTGCCTCCCCAGTGTCTCTATATTCTAGGATGATGGACAGGTTCCAGGTTCTTGAGGAGAAGAGGAATTCATGTCTTTACTGACAAAGGAGAAAATTCATTCATTTGTGCATTCAACAGGTTCTTTATTGAATAAATGATCTGTGCTCAGTACTGTGCTAGGCACTAAGGGGGGTATACAAAAAAAGTAAGCTGATGCCTGCCCTTGAGGAGCTTCCAGTCTAATAGGGAAGAAAAAAACGCAGGACCCTAGAACAGCTAACTAACAACCCAAAGGAATCTATGCTAAAGCCAAGGGTCAGGTAAAGACAGTAGATGCTCCAGAAGTCCCAAGGAGCAAGGTGTCCAAGCTGGAGGGTGGGGTGGCCTGGGTAGGCTTCCCAGAGGAGGTGACATTCAAGCTGCTAATTGAGGGAAGGGTAGGATTGCTTAAGGCAGGGAGAAGAGAGGGGAGAGGTTGGGAGCACAGCAGGGGTGAAAGTTCAGAGCTAGGACTGAAATGGTGGGCTTCCAGCTATCAGTTTTCCCCAGTGGGCAAAGGACCATGGCCACCTCCTCACTTGAGTGAGGCCTGTGAAGAAGGGAAAAGGGGAGAGGTGATTAGAGAGGGGATTGGAGTCCCTCCATAGCTCCCCACCTCTGTCAGGGAAAGTCACAGGCTCATAGGATCAGAGCTGGAAGACACAGAGGCCATCCAGTCTAAACCCCTCTCCTCTCTGAGCTCTGCCCAATTTCTGGCCTCCTCTTCCTCCCAGACTAGGACCATCTTTCTCTGGGTCTATGTGAGATGCTCCAATGGTACTGTCCCTGTCAGAGGCATCTCTTCCAAGAACTCATGGTGTAATCCCATGCAACTCTCTTAGCCTCCCCAAGCATCCATTTCCTACTCTTTAAAATGAAATGCCAAAACTGAATAATCTCTCCAAGGTCACCTCCAACTTCTCTGTGGCTTTCACCAAAAGAAGGATCACCCCTGGAGATCAGATTTTCCTCCTGCATCTTTTTGATCAATATTAGCCAATGATGCATTGATTTTGTTGAAGTTATTTTGTTGCTGTTTTTTAAATAGCCTTTATTTTCTATTTTAGCTACATCTCCTCTAATTTTCAAAATTTCCTTTTACTTTGTTGTTGTTCAGTCATCAATCACATCTGACCCATTTGTGGTTTTCTTGGCAAAGATACTGGAATGGTTTCTCAATACCTTCTCCAGGTCACTTGACAGATGAGCAAACTGAGGCAAACAGGGTTCAGTGACTTGCCCAGGGTTACACAGCTAGTAAGCATCTGAGGCCTGATCTGAACTAGGTCTTCCTGACTCCAGGCCTCATGTTTTATTCACTGAATCACCTCACTTTCATTTACCTTGGATTTATTTGTTCATCTAACTTTTTAAATTCTAGATTCAGCTCCTTAACATCGTTCTTGCCTGTTTTGTTCATGTAACTTTCTAGAGAGAGAATTTTTCCCCAAAGGATTGTTTTAGCTGCATCCCAGAAATTTTGGTATATAGTCTCATCATTATCATTTTCTTTTTCTAAATAAAAAAATTATTGGTATATTTTGTTTATATGTCACTATCATTTCCCAAGGTATCTCTCCTTCTCCCCTTCCTAGAGAACCATCCCTAATAATATGTAATAGAGAGAGAAAAAGAGAGAGAGAGAGAGAGAGAGAGAGAGAGAGAATAAAAAGTTCAACAAAATTAATTAACATACTGAAAAACCTAATTCTATTTTTAAACCTTGTTCTTTTTCATAACATTATTAACTATTACCTAGATTTATTCTTGACCTATCCATTATTCAGAATGTCATTATTAAGTCTTTTTTTTCTTTTGTTCTCTATATTTTCTTGTACTATGGTCTGTCAAAGAGATACTTAGTATTCCTGGATTGTTTTGCTTTTGTTTTAACATTTATTTATCCATTCTCTGTGCCCTGGTACATGGTCTATGTACATGTGGTCCTGAGAAAAAGAATCAAAATCTTTGAAAAAACCAGCATTTCGTTTCCTTGGTCAATTCTGTACTCTTTTCGTTTGGTTTGTTTCTCTTCTGTTTTTCACAGTTTACTCTTTTAAGTTTACTACTCAGCCCCAGAATGGTGGCCAGACTCCAGGCTTCTCCTGGCTCTTTGGTGAATGTCTCAAGGATAAGAAATCCCTCTTTGTCACCTTTCTTCTCCCTGCCAGGCAGAAGATCTGAGCTCTAATCTTGGCTAGGCAGAAGATCTGAGCTCTAATCTTGGCTAGGCACTAACTCAAGGTGTGACTTTGAACACATCACTTCACTTTCTCTGTAAATGGAGAGTTTGGGTTAGATAGCCTCTCAAAAGCCTTCCCCTTCTAAATCCATGGTCCTATAACTAACGAGGTCCCTCTCAGCTCTGACATTCGAGGGTTCTCTCACCTTGGCAGGAAAAGGTGGGAATCGCACTTTGTCAGAGTCCTCCTTCTTCAGAGGCTTGATCAAGCAGGACCTGCGGTGGGAGAAGATCTCAAAACTCTTCTTACCGTGATAAGATCCCATGCCACTGTCACCTGCAAGGAAGCCAGAAAAGCCATGTGTGTTTGGGGGAAGGGGCAGCCTTGGACAGGCAGCTCACAGGTCATAGGGATGCTTACTCTTCCCCTCTGCCCTGTCTCTGCATCACACACATCTCCTTCCCTTTCCTTCTCCCTCTCTTCTCCATCTTCTTCCCTTTCCACCTCTCTTCTCCTCTTCCTCCTATATCTCACTCTGGGTTCTCTTCCTTTTCTGCCCCCCCCCATTGGGAAGCATCCAGGTGAAATAGTGGTAACTACAACAACAACAGAAGTAATAATAATAACCACTTCTACATTTCCATTTAAGGTCTGTAATGGCTTTTATACATGTGACCTCATTTTGATCTGATCTTCACCATAACCTGGAGAGGTAATCCTCTCCATCCTAAATGGGAATGTGGCTTCTCATCCATCTTTTTTGGGGGTCCCATGGCCATATGTACTGTATTCTCTGGGGTCAGAAGGAAGGGCAAGGAATGAGCAGGAGTCAGAGGGGACAGGGTCTCACCTACACCACCAAAGGGTAGAGTGTGGACACCCAGATGGACTATCACATCATTGGCAGTCACACCTCCACTGGAAGTCTCTGCAATCATCTTCTTGATGACCTGGAAGGCAGCATCAAGATTCATTTATAAAATGGACCAGAGACCCTCGAAGGCTCCTTCCAGTTCTAGTTCTATAACCCAGTTTTGCCAGGAAAGGGGCCATAGCTGTGGGCTCAGAAGAGTAAGAGGCAGTGTGGTCCAATGGGAAGACCACTGGATTTGGAGTCTGAGGACCTGGATTTAAATCCTGGCTCTGTTCCTCCTTGGCTCTGTGACCTTGGACAAGTCCCTGTCCCTCTCTGGGCCTCCCTTATAAGATCCCTTGCAGCTTTGACCTTCCATATTTGGTGAGCTCCCACACAACACATACTAGCTTAGGATTCCTGGTGACAGACTAACCCAGAGCTCCTGAGGACAAGAGAGAAGCAATTTCCTACTGGAAAGCAGAGAGGGGCTAGCCAGGCTACTCTGTCCTTTCCCCAGAGCCACACCCTCTCTTCCAGGCAGCAGAGGCTGCCCCTCCAAAGTGAAGGCAGGTTCACAAATAGCATGGCACAGTGGGAAGTCTGCTGAACTTGGAGAAAGAAGACCTGGATTCAAATCTAGCCTCTTCTACTTAGTAGCTTGGGCATATCTCTGAGCCTCAGTTTCCCCAACTATAAAATGAGGGGTTGGACAAGGAAGGTCTCTTCAAGCCCTAGACCTCTGATCTTGTTACTCTAGGTGAGGGAAGCTGTTAACCTACCCAGGGGTTTGGATTCCAGTGGGGGTTAAGGCTAAGAATTAGAAGTTAAAGCTAGGGCTAAGAGCCCATGTAAAATAATGAGGAATACATTAAATGTGGAGTCAGAAGAACTGGGTCCAAGTCTCCCATCAGCCAGTGGAAAGGCTCCTGGAAGTCAAGGGGCAGGAGTTGGAATCCCAGCTGTGCTATCTATATTACCATAAAAGAATAAGCATTTGTATAGTACCTACTGTGTTCCAGGTACCATATTTATAGATGTTATTTCATTTAATACTCACAATAATCTTGTGAGGTTGGTGCTACTATTATCCCCACTTGGAAGCAGAGGTTAAATGGCTTACCGGGGTAACATAGCTAGTAAGTATCTTGAGGTCCAATTTGAACTCAGGTCCTCCTGACTCCAGAGCCAGTGTTCTATCCACTGCATCACTTAGCTGCCCCACCAGCTACCTCTTAATAGACAAGTTTCTTCATCTCTCCAGGCCTCAATTTCCTCCTTCATAAAAATGACACTGTTAGATCATTCCTGAGATCTCTTCAAGCTCTGGAGCTAGAATCCTGTGATACATTCTGGGTGTGACTCTGGGTGACTCTAGCCAAGTTTTTTCCTCAGTAAAATGAGATTCTCCATCTCTGCCTCACCATCTGCCTCTCAGAGTGGTGGAAATCAAAGATCTTTGCACACTGGGAAGTATTGTAGGAACAAGTATTGCTCTTAGAGATAAAGATTAGTGCCTGGGTAGGGATTAAGGGCTGGATGTGGAAAAGAAGATAGAGAAAGACTGAGGACTTGAATTTTCCAGGCTTTGTGGCAGTACTTAGGGCAGTCCCCTCCCTTGCTCTGTGATTCACCTCAAATAGAGCTGAGAATGGGGACCCATCTCCCAGGCTTTGGGTGGGGCCACCCTGCAGAACTGCTAAAAGGACACCTGGGAAAAGCCTAGCACATTTCTCTCACATGCAGAGGCTTGGGGTGGGGGCAGAGGGCTCACCCTGTAGGGCATTGAGGAACCCGGTGAGTAGAGATGGCATTGGATGGTGGAGATGGGCCCTCAGGAGGACAGGCCAAGCAATACTCCCTGCCCCATGCCCAGTGCTATCACCTTATTAAATTTTTTATGGAAAGAGTTCAGGCAAATACAAAGGTGTTTTTGATTTTTTTCTTGGGAGGAATGGGGTAAGGAAGGAGGGAACTGGATGATGGGGAAGGTTAAACCCAGATCATAATACAGGGTCTTCAAAAAGTCTTAGTGCTACTAACGCTTACATTTGCATTGTCTTTTAGGACACCCAGTATGGCCTTGTCCCAACTTTCAGCTCCCCTATTATCCCGAAAGGATAAAATAGGCATGACCAAGGGAGAGTGGGTAGGAGCCTGAGGAGAATACTTATGGAGCACTTTCATATCTATTACCTGATTGTCATTGAGTCGTGTCTAACTCTGCAGGACCCCATTTGGGGTTTTCTCGAAGAACATACTAGAGTGGTTTGCCATTTCCTTCTCTAGCTCATTTGACAGATGAAGAAACGAGAAACAGTATGAAGTGGCTTGCCCCAGGTCACACAGCCAGTAAGGGTCTGAGGTCAGATTTGAACTCAGGAAGATGAGTCTTCCTGCCTCCAGGCCTCATGCTCCATCCGCTGCACCACCTAGCTGCCCCAGGCTTGTAAGAACCCAGTATTGCCTTTATTACACAGCTCTGCCTTCAATGCCACACAAAGCTAGAATGGCACTCAATGTTCTGGATGCCATTCAGGTCCCAGGTGCTCTGGGGTAGAGCATTTGACTTCAGTTTGAGGAAAGGGAGCCTTGGCAGCCTGAGTGAGTATATTGTGGGGGAGGTGAGCATAGAGAGTCAGGGGAGGGTCCCTAGTATTTGTTACCTGGTCATTGTTAGAAAACACATAGAGAGCCAAGGGCTTGGGCCGCTCATTGATGAACTGGATGGCTTCGTCCAGGCTCTTCACACAGATGATGGGGAGAACAGGCCCAAAGATTTCTTCCTGCATCACCTGAGACCTTGGGTCAACGTCAGTGAGAATGGTGGGGGCTACAAAGACCGAGAAACAAAGCAGGTACTGGAGTAAGAAACCCTGGGGTTCCCCCATTCTTCACTCCTGCACAGCCCACCCAGACACACCCAGCCAGCTAGCCTTTCAAAGCACTTTCTCAACCAATAACCAATAATACATTGGCGAGTGTGGCCGAGTGGGTAGAGAATTGACCTTGGAATCAGAAAGACTCGTCCCTCTGCCGCATGCTGCTGGCTTGGTGACCCTGGGCAAGTCACTTAACTTCCTAATGGTTCAGTCAGTCAATCAACTAGCTATTATTAGGCATCACCTATGTGCTAGGCACTAAACTTAGGGATAGGGGTACAAAGAAAGGGAAAAAAACCCATCAAGCCACACCCTCCAGGAGCTCACAATCCAGTGGAGGAGACATATGAAAACAATTATGTTTCATTAGATTGTAAGACCCTTGAGGGCAAGGACTCTCTTTCATCTCCTTTTGTGTCCTGTTAGCACAGGGCCTGGCACAGAGTAGGTGCTTAATAAATTTTTATTGCATTATATTTTTACTTTATGGAAACAAGATCTAGACAGAGTAAATGGAGGGAAGGGGAATCTCAGAGGGGCGGTACTAAGGATGAAGGAAGACTAGGAAAGTGTTCTTGTAGAAGGTGGGATTCTAGCTGAGACTTGAAGGAATCCCAGAGGTAGAGAAGAGGAGGAAGAGCATTCCAGGCACAGGAGGCCGCCAGGGAAAATGCCCAGAGTTGGGGAGTGGGGTATCATGAGTAGGGAATATATGGAGGTGAGTGTCTCTGAATCGAATGGTACAAGGAAGGAGGAAGGTGTAAAAAGACCAGGAGGGTAGGCTGTCCCAGGCACTCTCTAAACTGATGTCACAGAGGGGGCTGTGAACAATCCCAGATGCTGTCCCAAACAGCCTGCCAGCATTCCCCAACATCTGTCTGTTGGATTCTGAGATGACCGTGACAACAAGGCAGATCTCCAACTGTGCCTTGGGGGCCCCTTCATCTTTTTCCATCTCCCTGCCAGCAACAGCATCAAGGAAGTCAGACTGGGTGAGCCCACAGGGGATGCTCTGGAGACCTCAAGCCAATGCGGACAACATTAAAAACAAACAAAAAAGGGGTGGGGGTTTGAAATAAAAGACATAGGTCCATGGATTTCTTGTGGCCTGAGTTGAGTATTATGAGCGCTGAGTCACCTGTTCCCAAGCTTCTACCCACAGAAAGAGAAACAAACTCTGGGGAAAATAACTCCACCGCCCCACCCCACCCCCCATCTGTCCTGAATTAATTAAAGAAATCAAGTGCAAAGCCCAGGCAGCACAGGTTAAGGGTCCTACAGTGGGGGCACACAGGAGAATACTAAGGGTGCAGCCAGGGTAGGAAAAGGGGGATGTGGTATGGGGTGCAAAAGTAGAAGGATGAAGTACTTGGAGTCAGAGGAAGTGGGTTGGCCTGGCTCTGAAGTCTGCCACTTCTGTGACCTTAGGGAATATAATTCCTCTCCCTGAGCCTCAGTTTCCTCTCCTGTAAAATGAGAGGTTGGGGAGGCACAGTAGTATGTTGGAAATTTCAAGCCCTGGATTCAGAATCATGGATCCTAGGTGGTCCCTCCTCTTGAAGAAATCTAAGAGGGATGGGAACTGAGCCTGGTGGGAGCCAGCTCTGCATTGTGGTGGAAGCCCAATGGATACTTCTGTACTCCTCCCCGTCCATGCCCTCAGTGTGATCAGCCTCAAGATCCCAGCCAAGTTTTTGTACCTTCTGCCTCATTTCTGCCGTGGGGCTGTGTGGACACAGGAAGACACTGCTTCTGGAAGAGGCTGGACGGACCTACACACATGTGTTTATGTAACCTAACCTTCCTTCCTTTTCCTCCTGTCCACTTCCCCTCTAAACCCCACCCTGGGCCAACCAATGCCCCTTATGTGAGCAGTCTAAGATGGAAAGAATTTGCTATTAAGAATGCCCTTGGCTATATCCCAAAGAGATCAAACAAATGGGAAAAGGACCCACATGTACAAAAATATACATAGCAGCTCTTTTTGTGGTGGCAAAGAATTGGAAATTGAGAGGATGCCCATCAATTGGGGAATGGCTGAGCAAGTTGTGGTATATGAATGTAATGGAATACTGTTGTGCTATAAGAAATGATGAACAGGCTGACTTCAGAAAAACCTGGGAAGACTTATATGGTCTGATGCTGAGTGAAGTGAGCAGAACCAAGAGGACTTTGTACACAATACTAGCCACGTTATGCAATGACTAAGAATGTTAAACTGAACCCTTCTCAGCATTACGAGGACCTAAGACATCTCCAGAGGCCTTGGGATGGAAAATGCTGTCCACATCCAAAGAAAAAACTATGGAAGTCGAATTGCTCTCACTTATTTTTACCTTCTGTTGAGTTTTGTTTCATCTTTCTGATGGTTCCTCCTATTGGTTTTAATTTTTACTTACAACTTCACCAATGTGGAAAATACGTTTAATGGGTATGTAAATGTAAAGCCTATGTCAGATTGTGCATGATCTTGGGGAGGGTGGGGGGGAGAAAAAGGGAGAAAAATTTTCAACTCAAAAGCATATGTAAAAAAAAACATTTAAAAAAAATTTTTAAAAAATAAAAATTTAAAATGAAAAAAAAGGAATGCCCTTGGAGGGGGGGAGGGGCAACTAGATGGCACAGTGGATAGAGCACAGGTCCTGGAATCAGGAGGACCTGAGTTCAAATTTGGATTCAGACACACAACACTTACGAGCTGCGTGACTCTGGGCAAGTCACTTAATCCCAAATGCCTCCCCCCCCAAAAAAAAAAAAAGAATGCCCTTGGGGCAGCTAGGGGACCCAGTGGATAGAGTACTAGCCCTGAAGTCTGGAGGACCTGAGTTCAAATTCAAGCTCAGACACTTACTAGCTGTGTGACCCGGGGCAACCCCGGGGCAAGTCACTTAACCCTGATTGCCTCAAAAAAAAAATTCCCTTATAAGAAAGAACTAACAAGCACACATATTTCCCCATGGAATGTAAGCTTCTCAAAGACAGAACTTGGTTTTGTTTTTGTGCTTGTCACATGGGCATAGGAATAGGGAACAGATCTGCAATTTCATTAGTATTGAGAATTCCTCCGAGGGAAAGAAACTTTTCTACTTGCTCAGTTATTAGTCTTAGAAAGTCACTGAAAAATAAGAGGCTAAATGAGTTGCCCTGGGCCACACAGCCATTATTCAGGTCTTCTGGCTCCAAGGACAGCTTTGTGTCCATAACACCTTGATGCACAAAGTAGGTTCATAAATGATTGACTGCCTGATGAATTGAAATGTTGAGTTGGGTTATGGGAACACTGACTGGACTGGTCAAGCATCAAGATAGATGGCAGGACAAGAGACAGAGACAGAGACAGAGAGAGAGAGAGAGAGAGAGAGAGAGAGGAGGGAGAGAGAGAGAGGGAGAGAGAGAGAGGGAGAAACAAAGAGGGGGAGAGAGAGAGGGAGGGAGGGAGAGGGAGACAGAGACAGAGAGACAGAGAGATAGAGAGAGAGGGAGAGAGAGAGAGGGAGAAAGAAAGAGGGGGAAGAGAGAGAGAGGGAGGGAGGGAGAGGGAGACAGAGAGGGAGAGAGGGAGAGGGAGACAGAGAGACAGAGAGACAGAGAGACAGAGAGAGAGGGAGAGAGAGAGAGACTTTCATCTTTGCAATACTTAGATCTGTTCTCAGACAATTAAGTAGCACCACACCCCAATTTCTAGGTCATCTAAAGGGGCAGAGATATCTAACCCATTTGCGCTGAACATTGGTGCCAAAGTCATCCTTTCTATCAGCTGGTCCTGGCACTTCCAGAAAACCTGCCTTGGCCTTAAGAAAATGGAGATTCCACCACAAAAGGAAAACAAAACAACAAAAACAAAACCCTGCTGATTCTCTAAGGGCTCAACCAAATGCTTAATCCTTCAGCTCCCTCCCTCCTATCCTGCCCAAAGCCACAGTCACAGGGCAGGGGGTAGAAATAGGCCAGGCCTGGAGGGCAACAGCGCCAAGGACCACACTGGGGGGGGCAGAGCTGCCCCCATCTCAGCCCCCCTCAACACAATCAACCAACGTTAATTAAGCACCTGCCTAAATACTACGCAATTAAAAACACAAACTTACCTCTTCACAGTAAAGGGAAAGCGAAGGACAGTGAGAACCCACCTATATAGCGAGAGGCCTCATCTCCATTCCCTCCATATGCCACCTTCTGTCCCTCAATTAAGCTCATCACCCTTTTGAAGTGACGGCTGTTGACCATTCTTCCATAGTCATGAGAACTTTTGGCATCATCTCCATAGAATTCCTTTGGGAAAGAAGCATGGTGTTAAAAGAGTTCATGATCAAATGCACAGAAACTCATTTTTCAATAGTTCAGATACAAAAACCACTCCTTAAAATGCTGATTTGTAGAGGGGGCCCTGACCTGCATTGATAGAGAGTGTTCGCTCACCTGGAATTTCCTTCTACTCAATGAAATCACAGGTCCAGGCCCCATCCCTATTCCTAGGATGTAAGTTCCTTGAAAGCAGGAAGTGACTCTGACTTTTTCTATTTGTAACCCCAGTGCATGTGGCACATTGTAAGCACTTAGTAAATGCTTTTATTTCATTCATTCATTTGTTCATTCATCTATTTATTCCTTCATAGAATAGTTGTGTAGCTGTGGACCCAATTTCAGTGAATGTCTGTAGCTGCTAAGAATAACTGAGGATTTAGAGCTGAAAGGAACATTATTTATCACCCAGTCCAACCCCCTCACTTTACAGATGAGGAAACTGACGCCTAGAGTTGTGACCAAGTTCACATAGGTAGTAAGACTCCTAGGCAGAAAAGGAACCTATATCTTTGACTCCAAACCTAGTGGTCTTTCCCTTGCATTCCCTGCCTTTCAGGAAGAGAATCCATTCTTCCCATTACTTTATGTTTATTGTGCAACAGACAAGGCTGATGTCTTGTTTTTCAGCTTTCATTACATTGTGTGACTTTGGATGGGTTACTTTATCTCTTTGGGCTGCAAGTATTGATCTATCTGCCTGCCTATCTATCCTTCTACTCATCCATCATCTATCTATCTATTTAGCTATCCTTCTATATGTCTCTATCTATGTAACTATTTAATCATTTATCAATCTATCTATCCTTCTATCCATCTATCATCTATCAATCTATTTTTCTGTCTATCCTTCTAGCTATCCATGTATCTATCAATCTATCCTATCCTATCCTATCCATCCAACCATCCATCCATCCATCTATCTATCTGTCTGTCTATCCTTCCATCTCTATGTATCTACATATCTTTTTAATCATCTATCCATTTACCTGCCTATCTTTCTATTTATCTTTTTATCCATTCATCTCTCTATCATCTATTTGTCTGTCTGTTTATCCATCTACTTACCTCCCTATCTACTCATCAAGTCACTTATGCTCCCTGAGTCTGTTTCCCCACCTGTAAAATAAAGATAATGATGATGTCCATCTCCCTGGATTGTCATGAAGCTCAAGTGAGATAATATACATAAAGTGCTTTGCAAACTTTAAAGTATCATATAAATATGAGCAACCATTATTATCTTGGAAAATAGCTAGCTTTTCCCTTTGTTGCCTTCTCTTCAGGACACACATTCCCAGGTCCTTCACCTAGGTCTAAGTCAACTCATAATTCTGATCCCTGCCCTCTGGACTCATTTCAGTTCAACACCCTTTCTGGGGAAAGCCCACCTTATCTGGGACTCAGCACTAAAACCAACATTGCAGTTGTGGTGTGGGTAAGGGTCAAAGTACAGTGGCATAATTCTAGGCTTTGTTCTTCTAATAATGTTTAATGTCACATTAGCACTAACAATGCCACATCCCACTACTGATTCATATTGAGCTTGCAGTCAGCTAAAAAAACAAGTCTCTTTCAAATGTCGAAGCTCCATCCTATATTGATATAAGAGCTTCTAGGTATTCCTATTAAATGTCTTTTTTATGGAAAAAAGTCAATGTTGGAGGGGTTGTGGAAAGATGGGCACACGGAGATACTACTGGTGGAAACTGTGAATTGATCTGACCTAAAAGTAACAAAGAAAGTAACTAAAATTCCCATGTCTTTGACTCAGAGATCCCATGACTGGGCATAGAATTTAAGGAGGTCAGACACCAAGGAAAGATTCCACAGGTGCTAGAATATTCATGGAAGTACTTTTTGTGGCAACAAAAAACATGGAAACATAGTGGGTGCCCATTGATTAGCAGCTGGCTAAATGTGCCACCTTCTGCATGAAGCTTTTCTTGGGTCCCTCTAGGTGATGGTGTCTTCCCCTCCACCATTGTATCGTCTTTGTAGCCGCGGCACCCAGCCCTGTGTCTGATACACAGTAGGCACTTAATAAATGTTTGCTGATTGGTATAAGGAATTACAACTGTGAAGAATTCAGAGAAGCATGCAAAAACTTACATGCACTGATGCAGAGCAAGGGGTGAGGAGAAGCAGGAAATAACACACACAATGATTATGACAATACGAAAGGCAAGAACAGGGGCAGCCAGGTGGCACAGTGGATAGAGAGAGCACCACGTCTGGAGTCAGAAGGACCTGAGTTCAAATCTGGCCTCCGACACTTACTACTTGTGCAACTCTGGGGCAAGTCATTTACCCATGTTTGCCTCAGTTTCCTTATCTATAAAATGAGGATCATGATAGTACCTACCTCTCAGGGTTATTGAGACCTGTGTAATTATAATGAACAAACTTGGCTTTTCTTTTGGAGGACAGTGGAGAAGATGTATGTAACTCCTTTTGTTGTAAAGACAGGAAGTCCCCAATTCATGGGGTCAGAATTCCTGGCTTCCCTCAAGACCTAGCTCCTGCACCACCTTTTGCAGGCTCTTCCTGGCTATTAATGCTTTCCCCTCTAAAGTTACCTCCTATTTGGAGACACCTAGTTTGAAAGAGTACTGGGTGTGGAGTCAGGAAGACCTGAGTTCAATTTGAGCCTCAGACACCTACTAGTTATATGACCTTGGGCAAGACATTTAACCTCTGTCTGCCTCAGTTTCCTCAACTGTAAAATAGGGATCATCATAGCACCTGACTCCCAGAGTTATTGTAAGGATCAAATGAAAGTATATCTGTTAAGTGCCTGGTACACAATAGATGCTTAATAAATGCTTCCATTATGTTTTACATGGCTTCACATGTATAATGGGTGCCTTATTGCTTACGTTCTAAAAAGACAGGGGAAGGGGTGGAGAGAGAGAGAGAGAGAGAGAGAGAGAGAGAGAGAGAGAGAGAGAGAGAATTTAGAACTCAAATTTTTAAAAAAGAATGTTTAAAAAAAGGTTCCATTCACTTTGTGTCATGTATGTACTTCTTCCTTTCCATGGTCTACTTTGTTAGAATGTAAGCTCCTTAAGGGCGAGAGATGTTTTTTACCTTTCTTCCTCTCCCCAACACTTAGCACAGTGCCTGGCACCAAGGAAGTATCGGTGGGGGCTAGCTAGTACATCTATCCCTTCTGAGAGCACAAACCCATAGCCATGGCCTCTCTCTACTACCACCATTCAGAGGGTCTGTGAGGCAGGCCCAAGTGATTTCACAGTCCCCCACTCACCTTCAGGGCTTTTTTAATCTTCTCCACTACTTGGCCTTGCAGAGCAGAATCACAGAGGATGTAGTCTGGAGCCACACAAGTCTGGCCACTGTTCAAGTACTTTCCCCAGGTGATACGTCTAGAAAAAAAAAAATTGCAAGAAAATTCCTGCATGAATAATGAATGGGGAAGCTATGTGGTTTTTATTTGCTGGAAATGCTGGAAGAAGCAGCAACTCTGCCTTCTGGAGGACACAATACAGCCCTAGTTATTGAAAAATAATCTTCCATATCCTGCTTGGTTTCCATTCCAAGGGGTAGAGGCACTTTGCCCGATCAGCAGCTGTAGGATGCAGGGCATGGTACCCCACCCTCCCCCAGTTCATGAGGATGGCAGCAGGGACAGAAGGCCCAGTAGCATCTTCCAGATGGGGTAGGATTGCAACACAAGGCAAGAGGATCATGGGAGAAGAGTCAAGTGGTAATTTACATGGAATGTTCAGTCTACACCTCCCCCACATCAAGACAACTGGCTAGAAAGAGTAGCATTCAGGAGGCCACCTGTTCAACACTCATGGCCCTAGATGCACCACTTTCCCCAACAGAGATGGTAGAACTTGACAGTTGGTTTAATGGTCTGTCAATACACCCAGAATCTATGAGGGCTGCCCACTGCTCTCTCACCTACATGGGCCAGTTAGGTTTATCTGTGCCTTGGCAGTACACCTGAATGAAAAACAAAATGTTCCACGTGGTGCCATGTATGGATGCCACAGGCTCCTAGGACTTAGGACAAGAAGGGACCTTAGAGGTTGTCTAGCCCAACTCCATCATTACACAAAGAAGGAAGCGAGGTTCAGAGGGGGTGAAATGACTTGCCCAAGGTCACCTAGATAATAAGTAGCAACGCCAGGCCTTCTTGACTCTAAACCCCTCAGATTTTCTACTATTCCACAGTTGCTTCAGTCTATGACTGTACTCACCAACATTGGTTTTTCCAAACCTAAATACTCCTCCCTGGTCAACCCTTCCATTATGTGTTGTCTCTTCCTATTAGAACATGAGCTCATTGAGCACAAGGATTGTCTTCACTTTTGTTATTGTATTCCCACTACAAAGCTTAGTGCTTGACACACAGTATCTCCTGCATTTTCATTCATTCATTCATTCATTCATTCATTCATTCATTCAGTGATACTATGACTCAAGTTGCTCCTTGGGCTTCTTCCAACTCCCATAGTCTCCAGTAGTCTGTGGTTCTCTGATATCCAGTCTCACCTGCAGGCAATGTCAAGGTCACAGTCCTTATCAATGTAACAGGGACTCTTCCCTCCCAGTTCCAGGGTCACTGGGGTCAGGTGCTTGGCCGCAGCTGTCATGATAATCTTGCCCACTCCTGTGCTCCCAGTAAAGAGGATGTGGTCAAATTTCTCCTTCAGCAATTCTGTGGTCTCAGGAACACCACCATTAATAACTGGAAACAGGTCCTGCCATGAAAACATACTGAGATCAGTCAGGAAATACTGTCTGTCTTGAGACTCAGATGGTCCAGTGGGGAAAGCTCTAGCTTTGGCATCAGAGGAGCCAAATGGCCTCAGAAGTCCCTGCCATCTCCAAATCTGTGCTCCTCTGATCCCTTGGCTGGAATATTATCCCTGCTTTGTTTCCCACTTCTCCATCATGGCCCCAGGAGCCTCATCTTCATGCAAGACCTCATCAGCTGTGGTACTGATGCTTCATCATCTGTCTTCTGATGAGAGGACAGGGTGATGAACTCCTCCCCAAACCTCCATTTAAGGAGGGGGCCCAGGCAAAGCATCTTTCCATTTCCCACTCAGTGAGACTCCTTTGGATTTCTCCATCCTGCCCCAGTGCTGGCTGCCTTCCTCTCCCCAGCCCCGCCTCAGCCTGTCTGACCTGTCTTTTGAACTTCCCTTAGGTGTTGTCTTCCCTCATTAGATTGTAAGCTCCCTGAGGAAAGGGGCCGTCTTTCTTCTTGCTATTTGTATCTCCAGTACTTAGTACAGTACCCTGACACATAATAGGCATATAAGAAACGTTTATTGACCCTGGATACCTTTCCACAGGCAGATAATCAAACAGATGCCCTCCCCATCTGGTGCCACCTGGCTTTCTAGTTTTATTCCCTGCTAATTCACTTCATAACCACAGTCAAATGACATCATCTTTCTTATCCTTGTATGTTTACTCAAAGTATTCCCTATCCCTGGAATTCTCCTTCCACCTCAATTCATTCTTAAATTCTGATCCATCATAAGGGAAGAATTTATGAGCAAACAAGAGATAGAAAGCATTATGAGATGTAAAATGGGTGATTTTGGTTAAATCAAATTAAAAAGGGCGTGTACACATAAAACCAAGATGCAGCTAAGATTAGAAAGAAAGCAGAAACTGGAGGAAATTTTTTTTTACAGCAAGTTTCTCTTATAAAGGCTTCATTTCTCAAATAGAGAATTGAGTGGAATTGATAAGAATACAAATCATTCCCTAGTTGACAAATGGTCAAAGAAGATGAACAGGTAGTTTTCAGAAGAAGAAATCAAAGCTATCTACAGTCATATGAAAACATTGTCTAAGTCACTATTGATTAGAGAAATGCAAACTAAAACAACTCTAAAGTACCACCTCATACCTATCAGATTGGCTAGTATGACAGAAAAGAAAAATGACAAATACTGGAGGGCATGTGGAAAAAATTGAGACACTAGTGCATTGTTGGTGGAGTTGTGAAAGGATTCAACCATTCTGGAGAGCAATCTGGAACTATGCCTGAAGGGCCCACCGTTCATACCCTTCATGTACAACCTACTCTTCACCCTGGCAATACCATCAGGAAATCTGTATCCCAAAGAAATATTTTTTTAAAAAAGGAAAAGAACCAGTTTGTACAAAGGTATTTATAGCAGTTCTTTTTGTGGTGGCAAAGAATTGGAAATTGAGGGGGATGTGCATCAGTTGGGGAATGGCTGAACAAGTTGTGGTATATAGATGTAATGTGGGATACTATTGTGCAATAAGAAACAATGAGCAGGATGGTTTCAGGGAAACCTGGAAAGACATGTATGAACTGATGCAAAGTGAAGTGAGCAGAACCAGGAGAACAACATACACAGCAACAGCAACATTGTAATGATCAATTATGAATGACTTAGCTATTTTCAGCAGTACAATGATCCAGTATAATCCCAAAAGACCCATGATGAAAAATGTTATCCACCTCCAGAGAAAGGACTGATGCAGTCTGAATACAGATTGAAGCATGCTATTTTTCACTTTATTTCTTTGTGTGTGTGGGGGGGGGGGGTTGATTGGGTTTTTCTTCTATGTTCTCTCACAACACTGGAAATATGTTTTGCATGACTATACATCTATAACCCATGTCAAATTGCTTACTGCCTCAGGGAGGGGAGAGGAGAGGGAGGGAAAGAATTTGTGACTCAAAATTTTAAAAAAGAATGCTAAAAATTGATTTTACATGTACTTCAAGAAAAATTTACATTATTCAAAATTAAAAAAATTAATTCTTCTCCATCCTACCCGTCTAGAGCCCAGCTCAAATGTCTCCTCCTCCAGGTAGTCTTCCTTGATTCCCTTGCTCAGACTCGCTGTGGTTCAGACTTCTTTTGTAATCCTGCCTCTTCCAAGGAGCCTTCCCTGATCTGTCCTCAGCTGTTAGTGTTTCCTCCCTGGAATTACCTCGTTTCTAATTTATGCATGCTTTGTATGTAATTTTCTCTGTCCATAGACTGTAAGCACTTTGAGGTCAGAGACTTTCATTTTTATCTTTGTGTACCTCAAAAAAGAAGGGGGGAAAAACCACTTATTAAGTGCCTATCACGTGCCAGGCCCTGTGCTAAGTACTTTGCAAAAACCTTCTCACTTAATTTTCACTACAGCCCTGGGTGCTATTATTATCCCTATTTTACAGTTAAGGAAACTGAGGCAGACAAAGGTTAAATGACATCCCTCAAATTCACATAGTTAGTAAGTGTCTGAGACCAGATCTGAACCCAATCGTTCTGACTCCACACCCAGCTCTCTACCCTCCACCCCACCAGCTTCCTCTGTACGTAGCATAGTGCCTGAACATAATACAAGATGAGTAAATGCTTGTTTATGGGTTGATATTGTATATTATAGCTACCTGGGTTCATGTTTTATCCTCCCATTAATCTGTAAACTCACTGAAGGTGGGAGTTCTGTGTTTAAAATTCATCTTTCTTGTAATACATAGAATACTTTGTTGAAACACTAGCATTTTGTTAAAACTAAAGGAATAAAATTGAATGGTTGTGAGCCATTGTATTGGGGCTGGGGGGAGGGGGGGGAGGGGAGGAATCACTGGTCCTGAGACCCAGAGCCGCCACTATTACTTCTACTAGTTGGGGGATGTGGCAGAATGAAGGAGAAGGGTGAGCCCTGAGTCCCCTTCCTTCTCATCAGCCCTCTCCTTTACTAATACGAAGAGCAAATATGGAAGGATGTGGTTTGGTGTGGGCGAAAGGACACTGAACTGGAAATCAGAGGCAGCTGGTTAGCTGTGTGATCTCAGACAAATCACTTTCTCTCTCTGGGCCTCAGTTTCCTGCTCTCTAAAATGCCTGGAGTATAGGGTTATGGCTGGAAGAGATCTTAGACATCATTCTAGACTAACCTCTCACTTTACAGAGTTGGCCTGAGGTCACAGAGATAGCAAGTGACAGGTGGGGGGACTGTCAATTAGACAAAAGCCCAGGAAGTGTTTCGAACTGACTTGGGAGGCACAAAGTTTAGATGAGATAGAGTCCCTCCCCTCCAGGTCTTACCAACTAGGAGGGGCCTAGGAGACAGCTGGGGTCCCTCAGCTCTGCAGGAATTACTTGCCCCCTCCCCCTTTCCAATTCTGCCCGTGTGACTTCCAAGAGCCAATTCTTTCCCCTATAGAGAAGGTTTGGAGCTGAGACTCACCTTGTCCAGGTACTGAGGGAGCAATGTGGCCAAGAGGATGGCTGTTTGCTCACTCAACTCAGAAGGCTTAAGGACCACAGCATTGCCTGTAGGATACAAGAAAACATGCCTTCACCCAGAGTGTCCCCCCATGAATACAAGAGCCATAGTATTCCCTTAGGCCCTCTACATCAAGCTGTAACCAGCACAAGGTAAATCCAGCTTTTGGCACCTCTGAGGGAGAGAGGTACAGGCTTCCTTCCTGTGGTGACCAGCATTCCATTCCCCAGCCTGCTAGCCTCTCCTGACCTGAGCCCCCAGGGGCAGATACCAGAGACCACACAAATCACGCAGACACATGCACACACATCAGCATGTCTGCACGCACACACGTGTGCTTAGACACCCACAGGCTTATGCCACACCTGTCTAAAAGCTGTGCTGTGGTTTGTTTGGACCCACATCTTGTCCTCCAGCCCTGACCAACCCCCTATCCTGACCACAGTCGCCCAACTCAGACCATGAGCCCCGATCTTTCCCCTACATGTCATTTCTTTGGAAAGATGAAGGGATAGTTGATGATGATGATTACAGCTAGCATTTATATACCACCTACTTAGTGCCAGGCACTGTGCTAAGCCCTTCACAATTGTCTCATTTCATCGTCACAACATCCCTGACAGCTAGGTATTATTATATCCATGTTATAGATGAGGAAGCTGAAGGAAACAGGTTGTGACTTGGTCAGAGTCACACAGCTAGAATCTGAGGCCACATTTGAACTCAAGACTCTCTGATTCCAGGCCCATTGCTCTAACCACTGAACACCTAGACAGTTGCACATGAAGGAAAGGGGCCACAATCTCACTGAGAGAGGACAAAGGCTGAGTGATCTTTCAAAGCTAATAGGAGGAGGCAATGTGGGATGCAAAGAATGTTGGCCCTTTGGTCAGAGGTTTAAAATCCTGACTCTTGGGGCAGCTAGGTGGCACAGAGGATAGAGCACTGGCCTTGGAGTCAGGAGGACCTGAATTCAAATCCAGCCTCAGACACTTGACACTTACTAGCTGTGTGACCCTGGGTAAGTCACTTAACTCCGTTGCGTAGCCCCCCCCAAAAAAGAAATCCTGTCTCTCCTTCTTAGTACCTGAAAATGGGAGAATTAGAAAGAATCAAGAGGTGCAGACCATTTTCCTTTAAGGTCAAGCAAACAGACCCAGAAGGTTTAAATCACTTGTTCAAGGCCATGCTGCTAATACCTGGATTTGAGTCAGATCCTAGTTTCAAATTCTGACTCAGCTACTCAGGTCTAAGTGACCTTAGACTAATCACTGTCTTATTTGGGACTCAGTCTCCTTATCTGCAAAATAAGGGGGGGGGGCAGGCTACATGACCTGTGAGGTCCCTTCCAACTTTAAATCTCTGATCTTATGAAACTGCTGGGTGAGTCACCAGTGATGTAGTCAGAAACCACACAGGATGGTCTCCTAAAACACTTAGTATGCTAGATGAAACTACAGATAAGGCTTCTAACTCACGAACTGAGTCTCATATCCAGTTTGATCATGAATCTTATCGCAGTTTGACTGAATAGACCAATTCTCTTAGTGATGGGGTGCAGTGGACTATCCTGAGGCTATTTCTAGGGAACGATCCACAAGGAGCCCTCCTTCCTCCCAGCACAAAACACAAGATTTGAAGTCAGAGGACTTGGGTTCAAATCACTCAACCTCTCTGGGCCTCAGTGTCTTCATCTGTAAAACGGGTTCAGTTAGATGGGCTCTGAGGTCCCTTGTAGCTGTAAATCTAGAAGCCTATCTATCATCCACAAGAAAGAAGTTTTCCCCACCTGCAGCAATGGCGCCCACCAGTGGCTGAATGGTCAGAGTGAAGGGGTAATTCCAGGTCCCAATGATCAGAACCACACCCAGTGGTTCTGAGTGGATGTAGGCCTGTCCATCCTTTGTATTATCGTTCTTCTCCACAGGCTCATCCAGGATCCACTGGGGAAGGTTGGCGAGCGCATACTTGACCTCTTCGAAGGCATAAGTGCACTCTTCATAAAGTGCACACCACTTGCTCTGTAAAGATAATGGCATTCAGGGTGAGATCACAGGCTCCAAACCTCAGACCCCCTCTACCCCAATCTTATTTTACACAACGATAGAATGGAGAACAAGGGAGGTGATGGCCCATCATCACACAGGGAGCAATTTTCAGTGGCAGAATTCAAACCCAGGTCCTCAGATTGTAGAGTCTGTCCTTTTTTACACTTTACCAAAAGGTACCACAACACCTCCCCCAAAGCAGAGGCAGAGAACCAAGTCAAAAAGCACTGGGAAGATTGCCTGGCTGCTGAGAAGCCCCCTGAATGCCAGCTCTTTGCTGGCTGGGTCATGGCTCCTACCCACAAAGTCCCAGGAATGGACATTGACTGAAAACAGCAGGTTGTAAAGGGGCCCATGAAGGTAGTGGGCTATCACTGCATAGTGAGAAGGCATGATTACGGCCATAGAGGCAAGTCACCTCCTTTCATCTCCTGGAAACTGAGGGGGCCAGACTAGGGCAACTCTGAGATCTCTTTGAGCTTTACTCCTGGCTTGGCTCGGTTTGTTGGATGGAGGCTGGAAAACCACCACGAGCCCATGAGCCCATCATTCCAAAGTGCCCTTGCTGCTCTGGCTCCTGTGAATGTCTGCCTGGACTTCAATGCCCTCCCCTCTACAACGTGCAATCCCCTCTCAAACCCTCCACTCTGGTCAGGCCATGCCCCAGTCTGAGCTCATTCCGGCCTCCATATCTTTGCTCTAGCTCCTACCTGTATGGAATCTCCTTCCCACTCCTGTCCTTCTGCCCCATTCTTTTGAGTCCTATGCTCTCCCATATTGAAGTCAACTTCAAATCCAGTACAGACACCATCTATATTTATGCACAATTTGGAAAACCACTGTATACTGTGCAACAGAGTATGAGAGGCCAAACTTTAAACAAGAACCATACATAATTATTTAGAAAAACCATTCAAACGCTGCTCTTCTTCCTACAGGAAACACTCTTAAATCCAATTTGATCAAGGTTACTTGATTAAGATGACCTGGAAATGAGTATGTCTGATTGAAATACAACATGTTAGTATTATCATGATATATTTAGAGCCTTTCACATAACTATTGCTAGCATTTATAGTTAACTCTAACATATAGAAACCTACATTGAAATCCTTAATCATATGGAATCTCAATTGGATGAGTGATAACAACAGAAAAACCTGATGATCAAAATATATTTTCTTTATAAAATCCACACAAGATTTATTTCAGTGATCTTCAGCCCCAGACTGTGAACTTGGAGGGGAGGAATTATGTGAGGCCTGTATTTTAGAAATCTACTAATCCACAGACCCACATAACCTCAGGACTAAATTGAAGATTACTTCTCTCTACATTCTTCCCTCCATTCTGAATTTGCCCTGAAAGTCTATGCCCCCACTATCTGGCACTTTACCCCATGCCCCTGTATTTATAGCATCATAAGATTTTGAGCTGGAAGGGGCCATTCTATGAGTCTAAATCTTCTTTCCCCCATTCAACCCAAAGTTCTCTGAGGACAGAATTGGTTTGCCTATATTCCTCTGGCATATCCCATAGTCCCTAGGATGGGCTCCTGTCCAAGGGTGGGTTCATGGACTGAATCAATACCTTGTGGAGATCAGCATACAGGGCTGCAGTGATTTCCTCTTCTCTCTCCTTCATCATCCTTTGGAGGTTTTCCAGCTGCTGGATCCGGAACTTCAAGGGCCGGGTTTTGCTAGAGTTGAAGGCAGCCCTGGCCCGCTGCACAGTCTCACTGATCTTACTCATGGTGTCTGAGAAAACAGGACCTGAAGAGACAGAAATGGCTTTTTAGAGACTGAAAATGAAAAAGATCATCTTTTCCATTCAGCTCAATCCAGCAAACACTTCTCAGGGGAATGTTATGCTCCAGGTCCTGTATGAAGTATGTCAGGGATGGGAAGACAAAAACCAAAACCACAGGGCAGCTAGGTGGCGCAGTGGATAGAGCACCGGCCCCGAAGTCAGGAGGACCTGAGTTCAAATCCGACCTCAGACCAAACACTTGACACTTACTAGCTGTGTGACCCTGGGCAAGTCACTTAACCCCAACTGCCTAAATAAATGAATAAATGAATGAATGAATTAAAAAATAAATAAATAAATAAAGTATAGCAACAAAAAGTCTTTAAAAAAAACCAGCACCTGACCCAAGAGGCTTACATTCTGCTGAGTGTCTACAATGTGGGCACAGATGGGTAAAAATGAAGTAATTTGGGGCACTAAGAACAGGGAGGGGTCAGGAAAGCCCTGGTGTAGGAGGCAGCCACTGAGCTGTGATTTGATGGGAGCTACCAAAGACATGGAGGTGAGGAAGAAGGGCATGCCAAGGGTAGGGAAGCACATGGACGTAGGACATGGGATAGCATGTGTAGATAATGGCTTACAGGAGAGTCAGATTGGAACATAGAGTATGAGATGGAGATTCATGTAAATTAGCCTGAAAAAAAATAGGCTTCATGAGGACATCATGGTATCCTGAGAGGAACACTGAACTTGCCCAACGAGCTTGGATTTATGGAACCTAAGTTCAAAGTTAGACTTTGCTACTCACTCCCTGTGACTTACCTATGGTCACACAGCTGGTAAGTGCAAGAGTCAGGGTTTCCTGACCCCTAGTCCAATGCTCTATCTGCTATTCCAAGCAGATACCTCTCAGAATGAGAAGACAAGTCAGGATCTGAACCCAGATCTTGTAATTCCAAATCCGGGCTACATTCCACATTGGAAAGAGCCAAGCCAATCCCCTTAGTTTCTAGAATAAAAGACTGAAGCCCAGAGAGGTGAAGCAGTTTGTCGCAGATCACACAGCAAGTTTGTTACTGAGCTAGTCTCTCTATTCTGTGTCTGAGACACTTTCCGCCGGGACCAAATCACCAACTACGAAGGCGTGAGGAGAGACGCACATCCCTCCTTCAACATGTCCACGCACACATCCGTCCATGCCATCTGCGTTTGAAGAGAGACTCCTCTGGGAGTGGACAATGCGGAACTGGAAAGAAAGCATGTTGGTTGGAATCCAGACAAAGTGGCAGGTGAATGGGGGAGAACTTCGGGGATGGGGTCACTTTGATCTGCATCCTGGAAATGGCTACCCACTCTGATACTTGCTAGCTGTCCAACTTTGGATGAGTCATTTCATTTTTCTGAGACTCAGTTTCTGCATCTCTAAAATGGGAACAAACTCACACTTGTATTACCTCTATCACAGGGTTCTCATGAGGATAAAGCATCAGAGAAATGGGATTTAATCCTAGGGCTCAGGGGGCAGGGAGGCAGTGATTCCTGAGACTTCCAGAAATGTGACCTCCCCTCCCAAGCTCTTTTCTTCCTCTTCTTTCTGTCTGAGCATCAGCAAGGCACACTCTTACCCTTCAGTTGCCCAGAGAGAAGCCTAGGGGTTGGGCCATGATATCATCCCACTCCCTTTGGTGCCTAACAGGCCCAGCAGAAGACAGGCCTTTACAAGAGTGAGAAGTCCAAATTTCTAATCCTCACCCTAATTAGAGTAACTTTTCTAAGTGTAGGCATCATAAAAAATTCTAGCTCCTATCTGATCACCATGAAATTCAAACTATGAAAAGCCTTACAACTATTAGGAGCATAGCTTTTAAGTGGGAGGGAAACACAGGATCATGGGCCTAGAGCTGAAAGGGGCCTTAGAGTCCATCCTCCTTATTTTACAGATAAGGAAACCGAGGCCCAGAAGAGAAAAGTGACTTTCCAAAGTCAGGCAGATAATAAGAGGTAGAGCCAGGTTTGAACCTGGGTCCTCCAATGCCAAACGCTGTTCTCTCCATCTCAGTGCTATACTCCCAACTCTGAGAAAACAAGCAAACTGGTTGGGATCAAGCCATGAGACTGTTGCTTTCCCAACAGTGGATTATTTGTAACTAAATCCAACTGTGTTTGTTTTTCAAAACCAGTTTGTGCCTGTAGAGATAAAAGCTACCTGAACAGGGAAGATTAAAGAGCTGGAACAAAAGAGAAATTCGACTAATTCCTCAGTACAGTTTCTATGTACACCTGGAGTTAAAAAGCTCTTCATTGGCTTAAGTCAGAAATGCTTGGTGGACACCTTGAACTGGATGTCTCCTAGACATCACCAGCAAAGCTCTTTATTAGCCCTCTTCCCTCTTCCTAGCTTTCCTATTACTGTGGAGACCCGTACCATTCTCCCAGTGACTCAATATCCCAAACTGAATCATCCTGGACTTCTCACTCCCCACATCCAATCGATTGCCAAATCTGTCGATTTTATCTTTGTAATAATTTTCACATATGCTCCCTTCTTTCCCCTGATGCTGCCACCACTCTGGTGCCGGTGCAGACTATTGCAGCTGCCCACTGATCAGTCACCCTGTCTCTAGTCTCTTCCTACTACAATCTATTTTCCACTGAGCTGTCAAAGAGATCTTCCTGGAGCACCGCTCTGATCAAGTCAGCCTCTTACTCTATAAAATCCAGTGACTTTCTGTAACCTCCAAAAATCTACTGTTGGGCTTTCAAAGCCCTTCGTGATCTGCCCCCTCCCTGGCTTTCCAATATTCTTAAGCCTTACTCTGCTCCATAGCTTCTGTCATCAGGGAATCTGGCCTCCTTGTGTTCCTTACACACAGTACCCCATCTCCCACCTCCAGCCATTCTCACTGGCCATCTTCCATGCCTGCAATTCTGTCCTTCCTTGTCTCTCTTTGTCTCTCTCTTAGCTTCCGTGGCTTCCTTCATTTGACAGTTCAGTTAGAGGTTAGTTGAAAAGAGATATTATTTTCCATCCAAGTTTTCAGACTCCCTTAAAATCTATCCCCAACCATGGCAGTCCAGGAATTCCAGGTTAAGAACCCTGAGACTACATGGTTCCTAATGTCCTTTCCATTTCTGAGATTCAGTGGTTCTAGAAATAGCTGGTTTTTACTCTGAGTTTTGTGTCTTTCAATTCTGCAGTTCCTACAAGATTCCTCTCTCAGAAATGTGGCAGTGCCTCATAAACAGTTTGGAATGGCTCTACCAAGCAGCTGTCAAAGACAGTGGCTACCCTCTGCTGATGAACTCTCTCTCTCTTTGTCTGTCTCTCTGTCTGTCTCTGTTGTTCTGTCTCTCTGACTCTCTGTCTCTGTCTATCTCTGTGTGTCTGTATCTGTGTCCCTGTTGTTGTCTCTATCTCTGTCTCTATCTCTATCTATCTCTGTCTCTATCTCTCTGTGTCTCTGTCTCTGCTTATCTCTCTGTCTCTACGTCTGTCTGTCTCTGTGTGTGTGTCTGTCGCTCTCTTCCTTTCCAATTACTTTATTTGAGTTCCTCTAATCCCTTCAAGCAATATATATTACTATGGTTTTGACTTGTTTTGTGTTTCAATGTCTTCCAACTCTGAAACCCTTGTTTACGCCTTCCTTCCAGAAATGCTTTGCTGCCAATCACCTCTTGTCTGGAGTAACACACTAATGGAAGGAGAGGGCTCTTCTCCCAGGATATCTTAGCTTTTCTCCAAATTTCAGGAACCTGATCCCTCTAGGAATCTCCCTCTCAGAGTCCAAGTGTCTCCCTTTGACCTTAAAAGACTCTCATTTTGATAAATGAGAAGGTCTAGAAGTGGCCACAGCCAATGGATTCCCTCCAACAGAAGAGATCTGGGCCTCATTAAGGAACTACCTCCCAGGGGTAGAGTACCAACTCCCTGCTTCTCATGCTAGAGGTCACTCAGGCTCCCAAGCCTTCAATTCTTCATTCTTCAACCACCAGACCCATGTGCCTTATGAATGATTGACAACCTTTTTCTACCTCGGACACTTGTATTCTACTATTGTTGTCCTATGTTCCCTGTACTTTGCTACCACCATACCCAGTAGATAACTCAGGCAAAGTTAATGGAGAGATCTCCTGGACAAGGGGGTGAAGATGGTGGATAAATTCCTTCTGCCCACACCTGGAATCAGGTCATCTAAGAAAAGGAATAAGTTCCCTTTGACTCTCAAATAGGCTTCCCACATACCTACCAAAGAGCAAGTGGATTTTCTCAAGCTTAAGGGGATACCTTGGTGGTGTTCAGGATAAATACAGTTGTAATGGGTCTAATACTCTCCCAGGAACTATATCCCCCAGAAAGCTGTGCATTTTTAGAGGCACTGAGTTGCAAAGTCTCATGGGGAAAAAAAATGAGATCCTGGGGTGGAGGGAGGGGTTAGAGGAGAAGATGAGAAGAAAAACAATAGCTGTGTTCTGAGCTGGTTTGACTTTTTCTGGTTTCCAATGGCTTCTCTACAGCGGTGCCCAGATGCCATTCTAAAAGAAAGCACCATAACTACCACCCAGGCTGATGGAAACCACAAAACTCCCTACCGTACAACCAGTTCCCATGCCAATACCCTGCCATGGCTGACTTGGTATATGAGAAATAAGAAACATGGTAGGCAGGGCAGGGCAGGGCAAATGTGTGGCAGTTTGTCCTTGGTATATCTTATTACTGTTTTAATTAAATGCCTCTTAGTGATGGTTTCATGTGCGTGTCAAATTAATGTGGTCTGTGAGAAATACACTAGATGACAGCCTTGAGTACCAGAAGTCCAAAACACTCTCCTCAATCCAGGAAGTAGCAGGTGGCCCAGGGTTAGATGTGTGGCTTGAGGGACCCTGCTGTGTCAGAGTACTAACAATCTTTTACATTTTCATGACACTTTCTGCTTTTCAAAGCATGTTTATATCCTCAATCTCGTTTGACATGTACAAAACTATAGGGCATGGGCAGATCAGAGATCATTATTCCCATTTTACACTTAGGGGAAACTGAGTCCAAGTGGCAGGTAGGATGATAGGATCATGGAATTAAAGCTGAAAGAGTACTAGGAGATCATTTAACCCAACCTCATCCTTCATTTTATAGAGGAGGAAGCCAAGGCCTGGAGAGGGGAAAGTCGTTCCGTGATGGACCTGGGGCTAGATCCCAGGGCTCCAGGGCTTTTTTGGACTAAAAGGCATTCCTATCTAGGGACTAGATTGTGTTCCACCGAGGAACATGAGAACAACCCTAACTACCACCACCGCAAACCAACAGGAGGGAACTTTGGCCCTCATCACTGTCTTCTGCTCAATCACTCTTCCAAAGAGGAAGCGTAGCAGCTTCCAAAGCAGCCCCTCATCCATGCTCTCCACCTCGACCAGTGAGAACCCTCGAGCTTTTGAGGTGAAACGGACCCTAGAAGCCATATAATGGAACCCTCTCATTTCACATATGAGGAATCTGAGGCACAGAAAAGAAAAGAAGTCTACCCAAAGTCACAACACTAGTCAATGGCAGGATTGGAAAGAGAATCCAGGAACCCTGGCCCCTGGTCCAGACTTCTTTCCATTAGAGCTCCAACCATCACATGTTTCCCATGGCTTTGCCTCAGGATCTTGACAACTGCCAAAGTGGTGACATCCTGGGGGTGGGGGTGGGGGTTGGTAACTTCCCACAGAAATCTTGCCAAGGGGCACAGAGCCAGCACCAGACAGTACTGGGGAAATACACCTTTCCCCCATCCAAGTCCCCAGGGGAGAAAGCATCCACCCTTCTCAGCCCTAACAATCAATCAACATGTATTTATAAAGCACCTACTATGTGCTAGGTGGTACAGTGGATAGGGCACTGGGTTTGGAATCAGGAATCAGGAAGACTCATCTTCATGAATTCAAGTCTGGCCTCAGACACTTATTAGCTGTGTGACCCTGGGCAAGTCACTTCACCCCGTTTGCCTCAGTTCCTGTAAAATGAGCTGGAGAATGAAATGACAAACCATTCCAGCATCTTTGCCAAGAAAACCTCAAATGGGGTCATGAAGAGTCAGACACGACTGAAATGACCGAGTAACACTGTAAGCCAAGCACTTGTGATGATGCAAAGACAAAAAAACAGCCCCTACCTTCAAGGAATTTACATCCTATTGGAGGAAACAACATATACGATATAAGAATGTATAAAATGTGTACAATGGGTTTTTGTTTGGTTGGTTGTTTTTGTTAGGAAGACACTAGGAGCCCTGTGGTCTGCCTTTCTCAATCAGCACAATTACATCCAAGTTGTTGCAATGCTAGTACATCACCTAAGCAGGTGAGAACAGCAATGGATGCCAGCATTAGTGTACTCTGGGGGCTCCATTTGCCACGCCTCTGCATCCTCCTCCTAGACCAAAATTTCCCCTTGTGGTTCTACTTTTCAACACATACCAGTAAGTGACATTAGAGAGAAAGGGAAATCTGTCTGCTACCCACAGACTACCAGGGGTCCAATAGCTCCACAAAACATAGGATATCAGACCTCTAGCTAAAAGACATCTCCAAGCCACCTGGTCCAACCCCCCCCCATTTCACAGAGGAAGAAACTGAGGCCCAGGGAGTTTAAGTGACTGCAGAGCATAGGATCATAGATTCAGATTGTAAGGGACCATCTAGCCTAACCTTCTTGTTTACAGACAAGAAAGCTGGAGGACACAGATGTTTCACATGAGTCGAATAGGAATAGGAAGTTCAATATTCAATTCTAGCGACACTTTCCCGTCTTAAAATATAAAACATGAAATTATCACAAAATCAAAGAAGCTCAGAGAGAAAAAGACTTCAGGGTCTATCCTTGAAACACATCAGATATGTAGTTCTCTCACCTTTACTTAGTGACCTTCTGTGAGAGGAGACCCATTACCTCCAGGGGTGGCTCATTCCACTTTTGGACAGCTCTCGTTGTCGTTCATCCTTCGTTTTCAAAGAGGACTAATGAAATTACACCTCTCACAAATACTGGGAATTTACAACAATCTTCCAGCATGGCATCACACAGAATCATAGAAAGTAACCGTTAGGGGAGACCTGAGCAATCTTCTAGGCTTCACACTCTCCATTTTGCTGCAAAATTTCTCCAATCTACCTTTATCTCAATGGAATTTCATAGCCCAAAGATATTTGTGGGTTTGGTCAATGTAGTTTGAACAATCCCCACCTATCCTGTAGTCAGTTTAATGAGGGAAGCATCAACTGAGAATTATCAGCAGAAAGGAATTCAGTTTGGAAAACAGGGCTGCAGGAGACTCCAAGTCTGGAAAGATCTCACTTGGGGAGACAGCAAGCAGGACAATGGTCTGGGAGGTCAGCGGAAAAGATACTTGCGTGCCCTAAAGACACTTTTCCCACAGTCTCAAATATTGGTTCCAGCACATGTTCATGAATGCAGTCATTCTTGATAAATTCAATAATCTGAATTGCTAATTAGTATAAAAACTTTTAGATAAATCTTTTTTTATTTCTAGAAATACACAGAGCTAGAAAAACTAGAAAAATGCAGCCAAAGTGAATAAAGAAATTACCTTCTACAGATTCTCTCAGAGACTCCTTGCAATGGTTAGCCACTATCTCTCTCCCCTCCCTATTTAAGGTCTTTTCTTCCCTCCTTTCATGTCACATCTTGGCTCCAAACCCAGGAAGTTTGCGTGACACAGCAAAATTGATATTTAAATAAGAGGGTGAAGCTTAATCCGGAACGCTACACTTCCTAACAAGTCTTGGCTTTGAGGATTAGCTTTTGGGTTGTCTCATCTGTTTTATTCTGAAATGTGGTCATGTGTCTTTAAAGGGATGGGCAGGGCTAAGATGCTGGGTTTGAAAAGGGAACTCTTGTTTGCCCATGGTGTGGGACCAATCGCTAATTGATTCAGTCTGGTGAGGAAGGTTTCCAGTTTTTCAAGGTACAACTTGCTAGAGGAGTAACTTTGCTTTTTTCAATCAGTTACATAAAGTCTGGAAGACATGAATCATGATGACTTGAATTTCAAATCACATTCCCTCTGCTCAAAACATCATAGTCCCCAGTTACCATGTGGCTAACCCACAAGGCTGCGTTTGTGTTTGAGGAGTCTTTCAAAGTTAGGATAGACCCTGTTTTTATGCCTTGAACATCCCAGATAATAGCCTTCTCCATGACCTCCTTCTTCAGAATTTAGGTGTTGATTAGATGTCCAGTCCCTGACACAAGAGACCTTGAGGGCATCTCTCACTAATTCCAAGTGACTTTTGCCAAAATCCAAAAGTTCCCCTTAGAAACATCAGAATTTTGGCTGTGACCCTCTCAAAATGGATTCTCAGTTCCCCTGCAAGCATTCAAGCTCACAAGACATGAGATATGGAATAGGCTCTATTCATTTATTTATTTATTTATTTATTTGTTTGTTTGTTTGTTTGTTTGTTTGTTTGTTTGTTTATTGGCTAACCAATGGGGTTAAGTGACTGTAAGTGTCAAGTGTTTGAGGCCAGATTTGAACTCAGGTCCTCCTGACTCCAAGGCCAGTGTTCTATCCATTGCGCCACCTAGCTGCCTCAAAGACCTTCTATTTAATTTGGGAGAAAAAGACAGAAAGAGGCTTATGCCCTGACCACTTGACAATCAGGAAAATAGACCCCCTTTTTGGAGGACATCAGTTTTCTCTGCAAGATTCCACCTTCCCCTTAGATTGATACAGTCCATACAATTCATAGTACCAATGAAAGGATAGGTTTGAATTGGGCCTTGGTGCATGTGTTCCCCTTTGTCTTTGTGTTCTCAGTGCCCAGCACGTAGTTGGTGCTTAATAAACACTTGTGGATTGACTTATTGATTAAGGCTTCAAATCCCTTTCCTGTCACTGAGGTTCCATCTCTCTCCTCCATCTCCATTCAGTAGCACTCTCCTGGAGTCCTTGTAGGAGCTGTATGGATACCAAGGCATCTCATGAAATCAGCATGAGACCTCTATGCCTTCCCTGGTGGGTCCCTTTCTCTTTCTAAAGACTAACCCAGAGGGCAGTTCCATCAGTACTTCCCATTAATGTTGGTGGGGCAAAGAGACCCCAAAACAAGAGGATTTATACTCCATTCAAAAGACGATGGGGGGCTTAGATTCTTATAAGCTAGCCACTGCTTACCCAGGTTCAGAGTCTTAAGAGTCTGCCCAACATGATGGATGTTCTAATAAACCTTGTCTTTGGCTGAAAAAAAAAAAGACAATGGGGGTGGGGATGGAGCCAAGATGGCAGAGTAAAAGGGACTTGCTTGAGCTCTCCCCCAAACCCCTCCAAATACCTATAAAAATTACTCTCAACAAATTCTAGAGCAGCAGAACCCACAAGAAGACAGTATGAAACAAATTTCCAGCCCAAGACAACCTAATAGGTTGAAAGGAAAGGTCTGTTGCACCAGGCTGGGAGAGGAGCACAGTTCAGCGTGGGGCCCACAAGCACAGACAGGGCCCCAGCAAACCTGTAGCAGGCCTCAAGCATCTGAATCACAAGGCAACTATGGTGGTTTCCAGACTTCTCAACCCACAGACGCCAAAGACAACTTACAAAATCAGTGGGAAAGGTCTGTTAGACCTGGGTGAGAGAGGAATGCAGTCTGGTCCCAGCTCTGGCACAGCCCCAGGGTGGTGGTGGCGATGGATGCTTCTAGAGCTCTTGGCCCACAGACGGTGGGGGTATCAAGCAGCTGATAAGAGGGGGATTGTAGGGATCTCTTTGCTGGTGCTGAGGCAGGATTCTCTTGCTTTGCCCATGCTTGGATCTGGGTTGCAGTCCTGGGTGGTGGTTCTAGGGAGAGGAGGAGCTCTGGCATGGAGGAGCTTGTGGTAGTAGTGTAGAAGAAATCCTCCACACAGTTCCAAGGCAGAAAAGAGTGCTTGTGGTCACTCATAGACCAGAGCACAGGCCAGCAAAGGAGTAAACACCTCTCCTTTGATCGTACCACCTTGGAAGAACTGAAAATTTACAGGTGCCTAGAAGTACCTCTGAAAACAGCTACACACAACCTCTGAAGCTTGGGACAGTACATTCTCCACACTGGAAGCAGAGCCCTACCTTAACAAAGAGTTTAAAAGTCAAGTAATTGGCTGGGAATATGAGCAAACGGCATTAAAAAGAAAAAAAAACCAGACTATAGAATCTTACTTTGGTGACAAAGAAGATCAAAACATACAACCAAAAGAAGACAACAAAGTCAAAGCTCCTACATCCAAAGCCTCCAAGAAAAATATGAATTGGTCTCAGGTCATGGAAGAGCTCAAAAAGGATTTTGAAAAGCAAGTAAGAGAAGTAGAGGGAAAATTGAGAAAAGAAATTAGAATGATGCAAGAATATCATGAAAAACTAGTCAATAGCTTGCTAAAGGAGACCCAAAAAAAATTACTGAAGAAATTAACACCTTAAAAAATAGACTAACCCAATAGAGCACCAGCCCTGGATTCAGGAGGACCTGAGTTCAAATCCAGCCTCAGACACATAACACTTACTAGCTGTGTGAGTTAAGCAAGTCACTTAACCCCATTGCCTAACCAAAAAAAAAAAAAAATAGACTAACCCAAATGGCAAAAGAGGTCCAAAAAGCCAATGAGGAGAAGAACGCCTTAAAAAGCATAAATGGCCAAATGAAAAAAGAGGTACAAAAGCTCACTGAAGAAAATAATTCTAGCAATAATGGAAGAAAAAAAATTGAAGGTATTAAAACAGGCAAAGAAGAAACAAAGCTATTACTCTTTGCAGATGATATGATGATATACTTAGGGAATCCTAGAGAATCAAGTAAAAACCTACTTGAAGCAATGAACAACTTCAGTAAAGTTGCAGGCTATAAAATAAACTCACATAAATCATTGGCATTTCTATATATTACCAACCAAGCCCAACAGCAAGAGATAGAAAGAGAAATTCCACTTAAAGTTATTGTAGACATTATAAAATATTTAGCAGTCTACCTACTGAAACAAACCCAGGAACTCTATGAACAAAATCACAAAACACTTTTCACACAAATAAAGTCATATATAAATAATTGGAAAAATCAGTTGCTCATGGGTAGGCCAAGCTAACATAATAAAAATGATAATCCTACCTAAGCTAATTTACTTGTTTGGTGCCATACCAATCAAACAACCAAAAAAATGATTTTATAGAGCTAGAAAAAATAATAACAAGATTCATTTGGAAGAACAAGAGGTCCAAAATATCAAGGGAACTAATGAAAAGAAATGCAGGGGAAGGTGGCCTAGCCATTCCAGATCTTAAATTGTATTATAAAGCAGTAATTATCAAAACTACTTGGGACTGGCTAAGAAATAGAGTGGTGGATCACAAGGATATAAGACATCTCCAAAAGTCTCATGATGGAAAATGCTATCCACATCCAAAGAAAGAACTGTGGAATTTGAAGGCAGATCAAACAATACTTTACTCCTTTTTTTCCTTCTGTTTTGTTTCTTTCCTGTTTCTTATGGTTCCTTATTCTAATTCTAGCTCTAATTCCTTGGTTCTAATTCTTCCTTACAACATGACTAATGTGAAAATATGTTTAATAGGAATGCATATGTACAGCCTGTATCAGATTGCATGCTATATTGGGGAAGGAGGGAGAAAGGGAGGGGAAGAAAAATTTTAAACTCAAGAGCTTATGGAAGTGACTGTTGAGAGATCAAAATAAATTAATTAAAAAAAAAGAATTCCTTAAAAATTAGAATGGAGCAAATGAAAGCTAATGACTCTGAGAGAAATCAAGAAATTATAAAATGAAACCAAAAGAATGAAAAAAATAGAAGACTGTGAAATATCTCATTGGAAAAACAACTGGCCTGGAAAATAGATCCAGGAGAGATAATTTAAAAATTATTGGACTACCTGAAAGCCATGATCAAAAAAAGAGCCTAGACATCATCTTTCAAGAAATTATCAAGGAAAACTGCCCTGATATTCTAGAATCAGAGGGCAAAATAGAAATTGAAAGAATCTGCCAATCACCTCCTGAAAGAGAGGCCAAAAGGAAAACTCCTAGGCATATTATAGCCAAATTCCAGAGTTCCCAGGTCAAGGAGAAAAATATTGCAAGCAGCCAGAAAGAAACAATTCAAGTATTGTGGAAACACAATCGGAATAATACAAGATTTAGCAACTTCTACATTAAGGGACCAGAGGGCTTAGAACATGATATTCCAGAGGTCAAAGGAGCTAGGATTAAAACCAAGAATCACCTACCCAGAAAAACCAAGTATAATCTTTCAGGGGAAATAAATGGATATCCAATGAAATAGAGGACTTTCAAGTATTCTTGATGAAAAGACCAGAGCCGAATAGAAAATTTGACTTTCAAATACAAGACTCAAGAGAAGCATGAAAAGGTAAACAGGAAGGAGAAATCATAAGAGACTTATTAAAGTTGAACTTACATTCCTACATGGAAAGATGATATTTCTAACTCATGAGATCTTTCTCGGTATTAAGGTAGTTGGAGGGAATATATATATATAGATATATATATCTATATCTATATATATATAGATATATATATCTATATCTATATCTATAGATATAGATATATATATATCTATATATATATACATATAGACAGAGGACACAGTGTGAGTTGATTATGAAGAGATGATTTGTATAAAATATAAAATATACAAATCATCCCTTGTATAAAATTTGT